CCCTCACGCAATGAAGCGCATGTTTTGAATCAAGTGAGTAATTGTGTAACAGGCCGTAGAACTTTAGACTGACCTGCCATCCTACTTAGATCATCATATCCCCTTCAGATACAGACTACCTGGATCAATTGATTCCGTCCATCAAAGAATACAGCATTGGCAACAGAACTTCCCAGCTCTTGCAGTCTTTGGCCAAATTTGCAAGTGATAAGGAGGCGGAAATAGAGGCTATCTGCAATACAAATCATCAAGAATTTGTTGCTTCCGTCAATCAACTTCTTCGTATCAGGGAAGGTACGGTTAGTCTAACAGCCGAGATCTTAGACCTCAACCAATCCATCCAAGCAAGTACGGAAAGATTGGCAGAGCAGAAAAGAGCCCTGGTGGATTCGCGCAGTCACCGGCAGAATATTGACGAGTCGTCTGGCGCTATACAGGACTGTCTTGAAGTTCTGCGCCTGGCCAATCAAATCCATGATTTGCTATCCAGAAAAAATCATTATGCGGCCTTACGCGCCCTGGAGGAGCTGCAAAACGTTCACCTTCAGGGGGTTACACAATACAAGATTGCTGAGATGATCCAACGCTCAGTGCCTGCCACGCAGAAGATAATTGCGGAAGCAGTCATGTCTGATCTGAACACTTGGCTTTACAGAATTCGTGAAATGTCTCAATACCTTGGCGAGATAGCTCTGTATCACACCGATCTACGAAAGTCGAGACAGAAAGAAAGAGCTGAAGCCTTGCCCTACTTGGGACAATTCAAGCTTAACTCCGCCATTGAACTTGTTTCCGATGAGAGTGAAGAGTACGACTTATTACAGAACGACGAACTTCAGGTTGATTTCACGCCACTACTTGAATGTCTGCATATTCATCGATCTCTAGGGCGTATTGACATGTTTCGCCTCGAATATGCCAACACACGCCGTCGGCAAAAGGAGCTCCTGTTGCCTACATCAATAACTTTGATTGATGAAGATGGGGCTTGTCTTCATAATCTCCTCGAAGAGATGGCAGGATTTGCTATTGTTGAGCGCTCAACGATGAAAAGAATCCCGGATTTGAGATCCCCTATTGACGTATGTCATCTCCTTGATGGCCTAAGCTGGATTTGAGTTGCTAATATCATGGAATTGGCAAGGTTGATGAACTATGGGACTCGATGTGTCAAGTTGCTGTGAACTTGATAATGAAGGCCCTTTGCGAAGTTGATAACGCGGAGAGCCTGCTCAAAATCAAGAATCTAATTGCATTATTTATGCAAACAATGAACGTTTGTTAAACCGATTCTTGTGGCTACCATATCATCTTGTACTAATTCATGCCTGCTAGACATGGGACTTTCCTGTCGGCGTCTTCGATACATTTCTATTGACACTTTTCGAAAAGTATGCTGACCTTCTAAAGAAGAGGTTTAGTGACGATTTCCAAGAGGTGTGCCCGTGTCCGTTGTCAACGAATTGGTACCCACATTGCTAAGATACTTTGAAGATCGTTTCCACCGACGATTACATGCCTATGCCAATACAAACAACTGAGGAATATGAGAAGGTGCTGAATGTCAGCTGGTACAATCCAGAAAAACCACACGAAGAACAGATGTAAAAATCCATCTCATTCCCTCTCGATTTGGCTACCAAGCCACTAATTCATTCCATCAGGTTCCCTTGCGTCTTACCATTCTCTCAAATGTATCCGCTGTGCTGCATTGATATTCGCAATTTCCTGAATCAATTTTACTTCTTCGCCAATGATGATTTCCCTCATACCAATGTGATTGATGAGACACTCAAAGACGTGAGTGGCATGCTGGCATTGGATATCATCTGCAAGCTAATAATGCAAGGCATTGGATGAACTTCTTTCGGATAAAGTGTGTGATACACTTGTTGAGCGTCTTTCTTCCCAGTACTTGGGACAGATTGTGCAGATTCTTATCAACTTAGAACATTTTGAACATGCATGTCGCGAGCTCGAGTTGCTTCTTGCAGCGGCAAGATCACAGTCCTCTTCTAGTGAGTTTGTGATGCTGAATGCAACAGAAAAATTCAAGAATAATAAGAAGGCGGCCGAAAAGCGAATCTTTGAGGTAGTCAACTCCAAGATTGATGACCTCATTGAGACAGCTGAGTACGATTGGATGGCTCATATTCCGCCTACGGAGCCGAGTAACTACATGCAAACACTGACCAGGTTCCTTTCTAACATCATGAACTCGACGCTCCTCGGCCTCCCTACGGAAATCAAGGAGCTAATATATTTCGACGCCCTTAGCCACGCAGCCAACATGATCCTAGTTTGTCTTACTTGCGCACTGCGAGAAATCTATCTCTGACATGACTTAGGCACTTCCTCTTTCGTTCGATGTGAAAAAGATCAATACAAACGGGGTGCTAGCTCTCGCGAAAGATGTCGAGTATTTATATCAATTTGTCGACAGCCTCGGCGTGCCCATACTACGGGAAAATCTTGACGAGCTGCAGCAAACAGTGCAGTTGATGCAGGCAGACAACACAGATGAGTTCTATGATATTTCTACACGAAACAAGAAGTATGGACGTGTAGATGCCATTAACGGCCCCGTTCTTCTAGAGAAGTACGTCAAAGCTAAGCTTGCCGAACCCGAAGTGAGACATATGCTAACCTACCTGAGAAGGATTATGCGCACTGTGCAAAGCTCTGCCAGAACTGATAAATTCGCTACCTTATCTTCGAGATTCGGAAAGAAATCATGAAACACGTGCTACGGTTGCTCCGATTTTGCTGTTTAAGCACAAGAAAAAAACGCTGGATCATGTTGAATCAGAAGATGACAGAGATAGCTCATCCGTCTCATGCTCTCAATTCGTCGTTTCTTACCACTAACCAAAGCGTATTAACTCTTCCAATTCCATTTAATATTCAGAAGGTCGAGGACGTCGACTCAAGCACCCTAACACCTAAGCGAGAAACATAAATCATAATATCACTTGTGTACAAGACTGATTAGCCCACAAACTTGTTCATGGCAATAGCTTCGATGATCGCAAACGAATCCCGATAATGTGACATACCTGTTGCGGTGGCATATGCGGGTAAGCATACATTCCGTCGAACATTTGAGGTTGATGTCCTCCATAAGCCGCGGTAGGGTCTGACTGTACAGCACCGGCATACATTGTCGGCTGTCGGTATTCCGGATCTTGCAATCCGTGCTGGCCTAGCGAGCCATAGTCTGGGGGTGGCATATGGTGTGAAGTGTGCTGAACTCCATGCTGGGCCGCTGGCATGTGATTTGCGGGGCCGGCAGCGCCCGATGCGCTTGCAGCTGCCCCAGCAGTCTGACTTGAACGCTTCGCATGCGATGTAGCCTCCTCACGAGGTACTATATCAATAAGGAAATCAAACATATCAGATTTCGAAAGAGCTGCTGCGATGTCCGACCTTTGTAGTGTGCGCCGTTTATTGTCTTCAGCATGGATCCATGCGCGCATAGTAAGCTCGGTGATAAAGATGTCGCACCCCTTTGCAAAGAGGATAGGCGCTTCGGCTGAGATCATCTTTACCTCCGGGTCGGCCTTCATCACTTTCTTAATACGGGCGAGCGGCAGTTGATGTATCTTGTAATCGTGATTATCTGTCTCGAGGTGGTTGATAATGTGCTGCCAGTATGTTGTTAAGATATCCCGAGCAGTTCCTTGCAGTCCTTGATTCACCTGTCCGTTGTCAATTAAAATCAAAGTGCAGCTGCCGAGGATAACTACTCGCATTTGCCCAAGTGCCCGTATAAAGCTCAGCAACAGGTGCGAACCCTTGCGCAGATAGCTGGACAGATTAGAGCAGTGGTCAGCGTCGAAGTGTCCATAGTCAGAGCCTGTTCGTAGACAAGCCCCGGGGAAGTGGGGAGCCCTACAGCTGCACTGGCTCCTATAGAAATATGCGTCAGCCCAATCTTCAGGTTGTGGAGACGTGCTGAGTATGTAGGGAGGGCCAAAGGCTATACCGTAATGCCCCCCGTTTCGGGTGTCATATACAGGCTGCTGTCTACCCTGCTGCTGGCCAGCACTTTGTGTAGGCTGTTCCATCTTGCGAAGCTCGCTGTTGAAAATGATTTCGAATTACATGCACATCAAATGAGAGGGTTATTCTGACAGAGGTGAGAGAGACGCTGATGAGGTATGGTAGCAACGAATATATGCTTAATTTTTATCCCCACGCCTGAGGCTAAGAGTATGGTGAATAGTAGAGATGATAGGAGTGGAAACAGGTGAAAATGCTGGGTAGTAGTCAGGAAAGAACTGGGTAAGACAGTAAGGTGACGGCCCATAAGGTGAATGAAGTTGGTGGTAGCGTGCAACAAAGCCGCGCCTAGCTTGGCAGGTGTCTCAGTACCGTACCTCGGGCTGTCGTCCTCGGAAGGTACAATACGTACGTAGGTAAGGTAGGTAAATCAACTAGTTATACGTATCCCTGCTTACTACTGAATCACAGCACGTCGATTGTTGAATTTCCGAATCAATGCGGATCATGGCTTACAGCTTTCTCTAAATTTATAATACTAACCTGGGGACCTGCTTGCGAATAGGCTTAGTCACCATTCGATTCCATTGTATGTATTCCTTTGTGCGGTGCAGACGCGACACAGTACCCGAGCACAGTGCAGTGCTAATATCAGCTAGACACCCCAGTGCTCACTCTGACATCATGGTGCCACATGCATATCAATCGGTCTACACTGTGTGCACCGTACCATCGGAGCCCCCTCGAGCAACATACAGTAGGAAGACGGACCGAAAACAGCCCGTACCTATGCAAACCCCTTATGTAATTTTAAACTCGTATAAGTTACTACATATTACAATACTCAGCACACTAAAGCGTATTCGATACGCGTGTCCGGACTGTAATAAAGAGTATTGACCAATAGGACACTCAGTCACTGGTACTGCGGGTCCCTAAGGAGAAAATTTTCCTTAACCTAGCCGATGTTGTTCCAAAATGGAAGTCCAAAAAATAGCTCGACTTTTCTCTCCCCCATAAATACCGAGTTTTGATTTTGCTTGCTCACTTCTTCCGCCTCCATCCTTCACTCTTGCAAATTCAATCTAGCGATAGAAGCGCGCAGTTTGGTCATAAGGACTATGACAGGGGCAACATGCTCTAAACTTGATGACCTCCCAATACAGGATGGCATTGTCTTAACAGATCGGGAGATAGAACAGCTTCTCCTTGAAGCTGAAGACCGACTCCAGGGTTGCGGTGTCGAAAGACCCAAAGAATCTAACCAAATACAGGCTACAGACTCACTTTCTGAGCAATATTCGATTCGGTATGTCTTTCGGCAGCATCTGCTCCGAGGCATCATCTGCCTTGCTCTAAAAGCTAATTCTGCACTTCTCAGGATACCAAAATTATCTGGCAGTACAGCCCTTGAGCCGTATCTCGATCCCCAAAATGATGTGGCATTGGTAGATACTGCCAGGTTGTTGCCTCAACAAGACTACAACGATGTTCATACTAGAAGGCCGAGCGCGGCTATCCACGATTCCAAAAGCTCAAAGGTAAGAATCGCGATTTCTTTTGTTGCCTATTTCTGTCGTTCAACCCATCTGCAATGAGGAAAATATTTCGCGTAAGCGCTTGATACAGCTTATCATCCCGTACTGGGCTGCGCTGTGCCAATGAAAGTTTCTTTTGTTTCATAGTTACTCTGAGCAAATCTCTGTTCTCAACCTTGATATTTCACCGCAAGGAAAGGGTTCAAAGGCTAATTATATCGATTTCAGATGAAACCTACGGCTGGTAGCGACTGGTTTGACCTGCCCAAAACTGAACTGACGGCAGAGTTGAGACGAGACCTACAACTTCTTCGAATGCGCTCAGTCTTGGATCCTAAGAGGCATTATAAGAAGGAAAACAGTAAAGCGCAGCCCCCAGCTTATTCTCAAATCGGCACAATTATTGAAGGTCCAACGGAGTTTTTCAGTGGTCGCATCGCGAAAAAGGACCGTAAGAAGACATTCGTCGACGAAGCAGTGGCACTGGAGAAGGAGACCAAACGCTTTGAGACCAAGTACAGGGACATCCAGGCCACCAAACAAAGTGGTAAAAAGGCCTACTACAAAAATCTACGCTCTAAAAGAAATGCCAGAGGGAAGTAGACTAGCTCGAAGGTTCATTGGGGGTTCATTCTCATCTAGGGTCAAGCGATGGCGTGCTGTCACTGGACAGGGCACTTGGTTTATCTATCTAAGCCCTGGGCCGAGAATCTCGCGTGCGCTCACCGGACAGAGTTGCCTCGCCCTGAATCCGTGATATCGCACCGTCAGCGCCCGTCGGATGATGGAAACCCGAAAGCGACTGTCTCCATCACCAATCTCTGCACACGTGTCAATTGACGTTCGGCTGCAAGGAAGAGGGGCGAGCATACCTGCATGTCGATTGCTGCCGAGCGACCAGCGTCAAGGACTTCTTGATGGTTAGCCTTTCCTTCTTGCATGATTGCATCCAGCTCTTCCGCCCTCTTGCCTGTGAGCAAATTGTCATCACCTCGGGGAACTGGTTCCAGAACAACCTTATTAGTCACGAGACTCAACGCTAAGACTCGCACGCCGCAATGCCTCGCAACAACTATTTCTGGAATAGTGGACATCCCCACCAGATCGGCGCCAAATCCACGGAGCATGCGACATTCTGCTCTGGTCTCATAGCTGCACCATTTTAGCTGTGCAAACGGATTATGGAGTTACACCGCTCACCTTGGTCCGCCAACAAAAGCATATATACCCTCGTGGAGCCTCCTCTGGTTGCCCGATAGATTTATGGTGGCCCAAGCTTTATGGACATGGCGGCGCAGGTCGAGATCGTAGGCATCAGATAGTGGAGGGAAACGTGGACCGAATTCTTCGGCATTAGGTCCTCTTAGTGGATGAGAGCCTGCCAGTCCAGAAAGGAATAAATGCTGTACGCCTTTCAGAATCAGCCACTCTTTTCGAGCACAAGGGTGCGTCCACTGACGTCGTTGAGTAGCACAATGTCGCCCACCATATAATCTGGATTTAAGGCCCCCGCGGCATTGGTTACTATGACCAATCGATCGTGTTAGATTCGAGATATGAATGGCAATCACTCCTGCCGTACCTTCCATCTGCCTGAGGGGAAGGGAAAACTCACAGATCATTGCGTCAATGCCCAGTAGCTTGAAAACGCGTACAGGAAATGTAACTCGATCCAAAGAATGGCCCTCGTAGTAACTGTTAACAGGTCGCAGTCAATGAGCAATCCATGTGGTCATTGAATTTGACGAGGATGGAGGTTTCTCTCACTGAGCTCGGCCCACCATCAACACTGCAGGGACCTGCCCATTTAGGCATCCAAAGACGAGCTTTCCTGCGTGGCCGGCCACTTATGAATGCAAGGTAAGCACTGAGCTAATGCCATGACGAACTCATGTAGCCTGAGCGTTACCTGTTAGATGGGGAAAATGGGGGACGGATTTGAAGTCAAATTCGGCTCGCGGCTGGTCGTCAATTGTGCTGGCGAGGCCGCCCAAGCCAGAGCCACAGATTATGGCAATGCGAGGAGCTTGCAACGGAGATGGCAAGCGATCTTTCAAAAAGCGAGCTGCTTCACACGCTTGCTCATATGAAGAATGTGCCATATTCTTAGGCCACCAAAACACTTCTGATCGCAAGATGGGTGAAAGTGATAAGTTACAGCTGCTAGGTTAAGAAAGGCGGGCAAGTCACACCGTGAAATACACATAACACAAATTGTAAGTTGGCTTTTGAATGAATGAACTATTACTAATTTCAGGCAATGGATTACCCCTCTCTGGACTGCGTAGAAAAGAGACCCCAATAGTGAAAGTGCATTGTTGAGAGCCACGAAATAGATTTCGAATAGAATTAGTACTACATTTCATCATGCTATTCTACAGCCATGGAAGTAATTGAGTCTTTGTCGAGATACTGTCACCTTATACCATTTTCGTCGCCATAATCTTTATTACGTCCATGTATGTAAGGATGAGCAGAAATATACTAGTGCATAGTTCTAGTTTAAAAACAATTACTAAGCTGTGTACCGGTCATCAACTCATGAATATCATGTAACTGTCCCAATCAAGAGGATGAGTTCATCAATAAGTTAGAAGATGGGCACAGTATATGCACCTACCCAGTAGTATACAGGTCTCCTTTTGTACCCCTGAACCACCAGATACATTGATCCTTACCCTTTCTATGATATGTGTAGAATTTGAATTTCCCGGACCAATGCTCATTTTGACCAGTCTTAGACACGTCTTTCTATTCTTAATCGTCGGGTGTCCCATGTGTTCAGGTACTTAGAAACTGTACGTACATATTGGTGATCATCAGGCAAACTGTATTTTAGCTGACGGTTCTAACCGGGAACTGTGTGATGGCTTCCCAACAGGGCCGTACTTGATCATTATCAGGCTAGTCGCGCAAAACAGGAAGCCGAAGGAGTATACCCCAGTGTAGGAGGTTTATGAAAGCCAGAAGCCATGAGTGTACACGCTGCTGCACTGCCTGATATCACTAAACTATGTACTATTGTAAGAAGCTTCGCCTTGCTAGATATTACTGAACTTTTTGATGTCCAGAATATTGCTAGGTCCATGTATCATGGCACTGTAGGTAATAGGGCAGGTAAGGTAAAGCCTGCATATGAATAACCAATCCAGTTTGACCTTATTGTCAAGTCTCACGGAGAAGGCTTAACAGGCCAATGGTATAGAGCTTCATTATTGACCAGCTTTTTGAACAAACCAGGGTTCAGTACTGATGTCAAGAACCCAAACTACAAATGAAAGGGTGAAGCATTATGAAACTATCTACTCTGCATTAACAAATGCATGCGTGTAAAAGATTGCTAAAGGACTTGTATACGTATGATTTCCAGGAAAGAGGGAGTGGGAGAATTAAAGAGAGAAGGTGACGTGCACAGCCCTTTTCCATGATACGGAAAGATTACCACTCCAACTAAAGGCGTACCTTGCAAAAGCCCCCGATGACCTTAGTACCGTGACCAAACCGGTCTTTTCATGAAAAGGAGTATGAGACAACCACAATGATATTGCGGTAGTATTCTGGAGTAACGGGTGGCATGTCAAGTGATTCAAAAGTTTTCGCCTACTATGCTAACTGTAAACAGATCGATCACTATTTCACTAGAATATTTCAGAATCAAAGTCTACTTGTATTTGTACTGCAATTCGTTTTCCAGGGCTTGCTTATATCGAGTATGACCGCGAGGAATAAGTGATCATAGTCAGGGCTACGTGGAATCGATAAGAGCATTCTTCGGAAAGCCAGCATTGTTCGCAACGAGTGAGTGACTGGATATCGGTGGGGATTGGGGGTATATGAATCCAAAATGTTAGCCCGTTAACTGGAGCTCGCTAAGATATTGAAGATCGGGATTGTCGTTGTGGATGCACTGCTGAGACTACAGTTTTTGAACTCATTTTTGTCATGATTGAAATAGTCACAGTGTTAACTTCAGATGACAGGGGGAAACAGCATCTATGATCGGCGAGTATCAAAAATTTAAACGCTCTCAAGAACAGTTTCCTTGAACTCTCTCTCAACCTTTTGGCCCTTGTCATCGGTCGTAGACTCTCCGTGCAAGTTAAGCAGCGCGCCGAGGTCGAACTTGGGGGACTTGAGAAGCTTGACCTTGCGGATGTGGACCTAGTGTCTGGTTAGTAGACTGACGATATTAGAGAACCGTATCGCTAGACTAACGTTCTGCAGAGGATAGATGCCCTGGGTGGACTTCTCGATCTCACGGCCAATAACCTCGGGAATGAGCTTGGTGGTGAGCTGGGCGAGAGAGCAGCTGGCAGCTTCGCGCTGAATGATCTCGGTCATCTTCTTGCGGATAGCACGGATCTGGGAGGAGCGAGCGTATGTGGTCTTCTTGATCTGATTGGGGCGTCTCTTGGTGAAGGCAATGGCGAACAGACGAAGGAGATAGTCGTCGGTGGTCTTAACGGTGACATTGGCCTCGATCAAAGACTGCCACTTGCGTACCAGGGAACGGAGCTTGTCGGTGGTGAAATCCAATCCGTGGAAGTTGGTCAAGCAGTTCTTTCCCTGGATTTCATCGACACGGAGCTTGACCTTGCGGAAGGCGTGATCCTCATCGTTCTGGAGGTCGGCAAGGGAAACCTCGACGATCCGGCCCTTCAAGGAGTCGTTGGCGTTCTTCAGACCGCTGGTGCGGTTGACCAGAGTCTTTCCAACACTTTATGAAAGCTTGTTAGCGTGATTGTCGTATACCCGAGGCCACGAGGTAAATGTTGCACGAGAAAAGGTCATGAACGGAACGTTGGGGTCGCAGCATACTCTCTGATTTGGAAAGTTGAAGGAGCCTAATTGCGATCAGTCGAGGTCATAGCGCTACTATTCAATGCAAAATAACTCTACCTTCAAGGAGTACTCGTCCTTTCTGGAGAAGGGATCAACGGTTCTCTTCTTGATGCCCTTCTTGCCCTTCGACAAGCGCTTGTTCCTACCAAGCGATCAGTTACTGAACGTTCGAAATGGCAGTCTCCTGTTCGGTAGGTTGAAAGGGGAGGTATAATTTCGCATACTTTCCGACGGCCATTATTGCGACTCAGGTCTATCCCGCAACAGTTGAAGACAGACTGAAATATCACACCAAGCGCACTGGTGGAGGGAGTCGATTCGATTGTCGCTGGCTTGCTGCTCAGTCGCGGAAAAGTGTAGAAATCCAAATCCCACAGAAAAGTCAGCTAAGCGAGCCGTCGGCCCTACCACCAAATTACATAATATGCTTCCCCACAAATATACTGATTTAGTCGTCATGATTGGCTCCCACTGCTCAAGCACGCGTGACTCTTGAGTCCATTTTCCATAGATCTACGGAGTATAATAACTTGTGATTAGAATAATCTGATACAGCATGTAGTCTGTTGCAAAGTTCTGTCTGTATGTCACTATCTGCAAATGCAAGCTCTAGGCTCTTCTCTTCAAATCCCGAAGTAGTCCCTTACAAATTGTGTACAGTTATGAAAGGCAAATCAGACAGGGATGCTATCTTCCAGTGTTCTTTGCCTTCTGTAGTCATGTTTAAGGATTTATCTCAATGGAATGTCGATTATGCAGAATATGCAGAGCTCAGTACAAGTAGGATGACTGTCACTTGCTGTTAGTATGTACAGTATGTCACAGAGACATACATAGTTACCCTTTAAATAAACCTTTATTATCGGCATTCCCCGCAAATCGAAACACTAATATGCCAGTTTGCTACTTAAGTGCCTGGAGATACAGTATAATGATTCAAAGCTACTCCGTGGCTTTCGTTGAATGATGTTCTATGTACCGCAAGGAAGATTGATTGAAAAATGTGTGCAGAGTACTTTCTTCCTTGCCAGCTGGATGGTGTATTTCCAACTTTACGGAAAACTTACACATGGGCAAGTGGTCCGGGTGCTGACATCAGATTACCGCCGGCCCGTGACCATGAGCACAACAGGATTAGAGTGTTCATACTTTCTAGCCTCGCACCATCATAGATCACAAAAGTTTGAATCATGGTATGTTATCTGAATTCTTGGTAACAATGGCAATAATGCTAATGCTCGCTTTACAATATAGGGTAAGCGAAAGAAGTCGAGCAGGCAGCCCCAACAAACACGAAAGGTGATTGATGCGCTCGGTACCTATGACCTTCACTGTTTATTGACTCGCGACAGAAAGAACCACTGCCCACCACATTTGCATGTCTGTTTTGCAACCACGAGAACTCGATCATAGTAAAACTGGACAAGAAGCTTGGTCTGGGAAACCTCACTTGCAAAGTGTGCGGGCAACGATTTCAGACAGGAATCAACTGTGAGTCCGCATTTCCTGGATCGTCCTCGAGGATGTCGGCCTGCTCATCTCACGCTCTAGACCTCTCTGCCGCCGTTGACGTATACTCGGACTGGGTGGATGCTTGTGACGCGGTTGCCAAAGACACTGCCCATAGATACGAAGAAAGTGATGCCCGCGGCGGACACTCGAATGACTTCACTGCTTCACCCAGTGCTCGAAACCTCAGTGCCAATGATGCGGATCCTGGTGATGAATATGCTGATGATTACTGACGTGCCTGCGACAATTGGCAGGAAGTAAGAACCAGATCTGCCTTGCTCTGGTTCAATTGACTCCGTCAATGCCTACATACCGCTAAATTGAGTGTAATAAAAGTAATGTCATTTAAAGAAGACTCCCTCGTGACCTCCGCCATGCACCTGATAACCTCTTACAAGTACAAATATCGATCTAAAGTGTATAATATCTGTCACCAAAGTCACCCAGCCCCGGAATGATATATCTAGCGGTGGCGGTCAGTCTCCCACCTTTCATACTGTAGAGAGTGCGCGACACTTACTTTTTCTCATCCAAACCCTGGTCTATAAATGCAGTTACTACCCTTAGCTTGGGAAATCGTTCTGCGAAATCCGCGACTCCTGATGGACTTGCAATAAGATTGAGAAAGAGTATGCGGTCTTCAGGAACACCCTTCGCTTTAAGAACTTCGACTGCAAGCGTTGCAGAGCCGCCTAGGAACAATTAGGTCGAGCCAGCCATGTCGGTGTGTCGCGACTTACCGGTTGCAAACATTGGATCCAGAAGGAGTACCCATCGATTGCGTATATCAGTTGGAAGTTTTTCATAGAAAAGTTTTGGTTTGCAGGTCTCCTCATCCCTTTGGATCAGGATTTTGCCGATACGCACGGATCGGCAGCAGTCCCTTAAGCCTTGCTCCATGGCTTCCCCTGCTCTCATTATCGAAACGCCGCATATTTTCCCCTCAAATCTAACTCCGAGGTAAACCCGGCCTACGGGTGTGGTGACCGATTGCTCGACCACTGGTAGATGGTTGAGACCTTCCTCGACTAGGAGGCGAATGATTCTGTTAGAATAGAATATGAAGTCGGCTCGACAAGTTTGCTTGTCTCTGATCATACTGTCAAGAGGATTAGCCCATCACAGTACAGGACGGAGGCAATGATCCAAAGGAGTATTTAAATGTTTATGCCATTTCTTACGTCAGAAGAGCAATCAATTGAGGGGTTTGGGGAAGGACATGGACATTCTCGTAGGATATATCCTTGGAGACTGTTGCTGTAGGCTTTTCGTCCTCTGGTCTGTAGAATGGTCCAACGCCCTGTGCGGGAGAAGGTACAGGTTCGAGATTGTTGTTATTATCCATGATTCAAGGCTTGACTATTGTCCTGTAATAAGGGCAGAGTGTGAAAGCGGGGAAGGAGGAATGGGGAGGGGGGCAATAAGGGATTGGTTCTAACGTCTGTGCTCCGGACTAGTATCTGCTCAAGTCGAAATTGGCAGTCGAACTATATTCCACTAAGACTAGTTTTACTACTCTATGTAAAGATCTAATGTCTTTCCCATTAACAGTATAAAACCTGAGAGTACGTAAGATGAGATAAAATTCTTAGATCCTTCATATTTGAATTATCCAGGTGATATTTATAATTATGTATATAATAAATTTGTAGTGTTCAGGTGCTCTGACATTCTGCTGCACATGTGGCTCTGCTATACAGACCGCCTTTCTATAACAGGCCGGTCAGGCATCCCAGTGGTAGGTGCCCCAGGCATCTGTTATACTTTATCTGTACATAGCTGTAGCAGTCGGTCTGGTGGTTTGGTGCAGTGGTTAATTGTGCTGTATATTCCTGCCTATGGCAATTCTTGTATATATATCTGCCTCACTTTATTTATAAAAACGGCTTTTTTTAATATAATTAAGAATACTATATGTATAGACTTACCTACTGTAACTATATAAGAGTTTAGGTAGTAAAATAGTACAATAAATAAATAGCTCTTATGAGATTTGAAATACTAGTATATTATTTAAAAATATTATTATTAATTGATTTAATTTATAAAGCAGCTGTTATTTTTATGAATAGCTGTAATTAGCTTATCTATATTAAAATATAAATAAATAAAACTAGTATAAAACTATAGCTGTTACTAATTTTTTATTAGTAGTAATTATAATTTTTACTTAAAATATTATTTATATTATTAGTAACTATAGTCTACTATAATATTAGGTATATGTTGGCTTTTGAGGCCTTGAGAAACAATAATTCATAGATAGATGGTTGTTTCCCTTATTCTAGCTATCTTAATACATACATAAGGTCGCCTCTTCAAAGCGGTAAGAAAGGGCAGTATCATACCTCCCTAAGGTGTTGAAGAAGGCAACACTCCCCCTGCTATACAAATAAGATCTATATACTAAATAAAAAACTAAAAAACAGGAATAAAAATTAATATTATAAAAATAAATATAAAAAAAAAGTTTATTTACTAAGTGCTAAATACTAATTTAACATCTTCATTAAGATGTTAATAAGCTAGAAAGGGAGTTTAGCAAATACCAGCAAGCCTTTTATAAATAGCTTTATTAAAAGGCTACTTCTCTAGTGATTTTTTATAAAAATCAACATTTTTCTATATAAAAAACTACTATTTAATATTAAAAAGCATCTTCTAACCATATATTAAAAGTATAAAACTAATATTTTTTATAATAAAAAAATAAATCTTAAGTACAGTTGTACAAGATTTCTAGATATTATTAGTAATTAAATATAATAAGCAATACTTATCTTTAAGTAGTTTTTTAAAAGCTCGAGTATTTTTTGTATTTAGTAGTACTATAAGATTAAAGATATTAGTAAAGTTTTTTATTATTATTTTAACTATAGGCTTTTTTTATAACAGATAGTAATTAATAATCCAGTTATATAGTTTTAAGGTATTAATATTATTATTTATAAAAAATATTATATTATAGAAATATTTTTATTTTTATTAAATACACAGCATATAAATTTTTTGTTAGAGTTGGGGTTTTTATACTGTTTTTTAGCTTTATTTTTTATCTTTTTATCTGTGCGGACTTTTTTTTAAATACTTTATAAAACTTTTTTATATTTTTAATATATTAAAAAAAGATCTTAGCAGTAGAAATAATATAATTCTTTACTTTAATTTAATTCTAGACTTTATTTATTTAGTTATAAAAAAAGGTTTTATTAGGTAGCTTTTTATAGCTAATCTACTATTTACTATAATTTTAGTTTAATACTTTATCTTTCAGCTTCTTTACTATATTATTAAACAGATTTAGTACTGTATAGAAAGTATTAATTTTTTAATTAATAACTTACTATTACTAAATATTTACTATATTATTAAAATTATTAACAGCCTGTTTAGTCTGAGCAATCCAAAGCAGAATTAGTTTAAAAACTTTTTTTAATATTATATTTTAACTTAAATTCTGGCAAAGTATTATAAGATTTAAGATTATTTTTAAAAATATTTTTACTATACTAGTTAATTATTTAATAAAAATTTAACTTAATTTATAACTAGTAGAAAATATAAATAATTAAGTTATTATAAATTATACTATATCTGTAGGTATATTATGTATCTTATATTTCATTCATTATAAATTTTAAAAGCTTTGGTTTGTTGTAGATTAGCAGCAGAAAAAAATATAAAATATTAAAAAAAAAATTAGCTAATATTATATAATTAATAAATCAGATAATTAATATCTCTTTATTAATCTTATAGTTTAAATAATTAGGGTAAATATTTAAAATAAAATCAGTATTCTAATAATCTAATATATTTTTATTATTCTTTTTTTTAATTATTTTAGTTTTTAAGATTGTAATATAGTTATTGGAGTTAGACCTGGAGGAATAAATATATTTTCTAAGACTTACAGTCTTAGTATATTTCTTTAGAATTAAAAAATTAATATCTTGGTCAGAGTTAGAGTAGAAGTTAAAATTGAATTTAAAATTAGATCTAATTTATAGACAGGGCTTTAAAGGACTATAAAAAAATAGTAAATTATTAATTTAAACTATTTTTATATTTAGAAAAAGATTAGTTTTTTTAACTTATTATTTTTATATTAGTAATCCGGTCTTAGATAAAGCTTCTTTTTATTTAAGTATATATATTTTTATAGTATGGAGGGGGATGAGGTACAATATAATTTTCAGATATAATAAAAATTAAATAAAAAATTAAAAATAAAGGATTTAATATTTTTTATAAAGCCAGATTACAAAATCTTACTTAGCCAGGCTTATTTAAATATTTTAAATAATTCTAGTTTTGCTATTTATCTATCTAGCTTTTATATAAAAAGTCTTAATAACTTTATTTTTAAATTTAAAATAATTAGAATTAGTTCCAGCAGGCAAATATAATATTAAAAAAATAATAGTATTAGAAAAGATTAAAAAAGAAAATAGTAAATAATATTAAAAAAAGTAATTAGTTAAAGAAAAGCAAAAAAAATAAAGTATAAAAAAAATATATTATAGTATTATATTAGTAACAGTAAAATAAATAGTTACTATTATTTTAAATAATCTTAACTGTATTTTAAAATATAAGTTATATATATTAGCTTTTTTAGATTTAGACTACTAGTCGGTTGAGAATAGTATTACTTATATTTTTTAACTAACTATCTTATATTCTTATATTTTTTTTACTATATATTATATTTATTAGTATATCTAAGCTACTTTACTAAATACTTAAATCTACTATTTTTAAAAATATTAACTAAATAAAGTCTTAATTTTATATAAGTCTCCAGTTACTGGATCGGATTTAGAAAGTTAACAGTAAAAAAAGATTTTCTAAAAAGATTTTTTAACTTTTTTATATACAGCTCCAGGTATATAATACTAATAACTAAATAAATTTATAAATCTAAAAATAGTTTAATAAAATATACTAATCCCAACTTTTTTTCTAGAACCTTGAAAGATTATATAAATATATTATTAAATTTTTTTATGACTGCTGAGTTTTATAATCTTAATGAAAACAAAGCTTTATTAAATCACCTTTTTTAAATATTAATGTAATCGGACACCGAGCCGGTGTGATACCAAGCCGGTGGCGGTCTGCTGCTGCCTTGCTGACTGCCTCGCTGGCCGCTTTCTAAGACTATTTAACTACTAAAAAAAACTATATATATTAATTCTTATTATTTTTATAAGGGTATTTTAAATAATTATATCCTTTACTTTTATATATACTGCAGCGGGCTGGCTGGTATATCCTAGCCGGCCTTGGTACTACAGTCTAAATTACTTTATTTTTTTATATCTAAACTATATTAAAGCTTTTTTAGCTTATTAAAGTATCTTTCTACTATATATAATAGTATAAAATCTTTCTTTTTTTAATTTACTTATATAAATTAGAACTACTTAACTTATTATTAAAGCAAGACTATATTTTATATAAACTATTCTACAGCCTTAATTATCTTTTTAATAATTTTATATAAAACTATTAATACTAGGCTTTAATCTGTAAGTTTTTATATTTTTTATTTCTACCTTTTGAATTTATATAAATTTGCAGGTATTTTTCTAAGATAGAAAAACTAATTAGAATATAGGAATATTAGTAAAGTTAGTGTTTTTAATTAAATCTATAGTATTAAAAGTACTTTTTAAAGATTTAAAAAAATAAGGCCGGTAGTATAAAATCTACTAAGTATATTAATATTAAAAAAGGCCTTAGCGTGGATACTATAATATAATTATAAAAAATTAAGCTTAGTAATTAATTTTTTTATAATAAATAGCCTTAAAAAAAACTGGCTATATAACTTTTTTAATAGTCTAAAGCAAGTAATATTAAGTGGCTGCAGTTTATAGAATAAATAGGCAGATATATATAAAAAAATAATTTTTATACTGTATAGAACTAATTAAACTGCTAAGTTGTATAATTTTATTATAGCTATTAAAAATTAATATATAATACTTACTAATAGTTTTTAAAGCTGTATATCAGTAATATATTTTAAAGCCAGTTAAATCTAAGCTTATTAGTAGTTCAGCTATTTTTACTAATACTTAGATAATAAGA